CTGGTTGTGACGGACCACATGTGCCTTCTGCTAGCCAGACACTGTCTAATATCTCAGTTCACACTGAACCAGGCAGAAAGCCAAGTTTCAAGTTCAGTGGAAGCCATTCCTACTGCTCAGAACAAACAGGGAAACTAAACATATTTCTGCGACTCTGCTGCTCAGTCTGTTAGTCTGTGTATCACCATGGCAGAAGCAATTTTAGAAGATAAGGATTTGATTACCTGTTCAATCTGTCTGGATCTACTGAAGGATCCAGTGACTACTTCCTGTGGACTCAGCTACTGTATGGGCTGTGTTAAGGACTGCTGGTATCAGGATGATCTGAAAGGTGTCTACAGCTGCCCCCAGTGCAGACAGACCTTCACCCCAAGACCTGTTCTGATGAAAAATACTCTACTGAATTAGTGGAGAAACAGAAGAAGACAGGACTCAAACCTGCTCCTCCTGCTCGTTGTTATGCTGGACCTGGAGATGTGGAGTGTGACTTCTGCACTGGGAGAAAACTCAAAGCAGTCAAGCCCTGTCTGGTGTGTCTGGCCTCTTACTGTGAGTCTCACCTGAAACTTCATAATGACCTCAACCCAGGAAAAAAACATGAAGCCACTGGACAACAACTTGATTGATGCCACTGGACAACTACAGAAGATCTGCTCTCATCACAATAAATTGCTGGAGGTTTACTGCTGTACCGATCAACTGTGTGCTGGATGAACATAAAGGCCATGATACAGTGTCAGTTGTAGCTGAAAGGACTGAGAAACAGGTAAGCAAGCAAGTTTATTTATATAGCACAATTCATACATCGAAGCAATTCAATGTGCTTTACAAAGATGTTTATCAAAAAGAATGAAAACATCATAATAATAAAAATACAAAAAAAAAAACATATAAAGATAAAAAATTAAAAATGGGATAAAAACATAGGAAGCTATAAGGCTAAACAGTGTGGTTAAGTTTAAGTGCTCAGTCGTAGGCACGTGAAAAGAGAAGTGTTTTTAACCTGGATTTTAAAATGGATACGTTTGGGGCACATCTAAGATCTTCTGGTAGTTTATTCCAGTTGTGTACAGCATCAGTGCTAAACGCAGCTTCTCCATGTTTAGTTTGGGCTCTGGGCTCTACTAGCTGACCTGTGTTCATGGATCTAAGAGCCCTGCTCGGTTTATATTCTTCAAACATATCAGACATGTACTCGGGTCCTAAACCATTCAAAGATGTATAAACTAAAAGCACCACTTTGAAATCAATTCTGTAACTGACTGGAAGCCAATGTAAAGATTTAAGAACCGGAGTGATGTGCTCCGTTCTCTTGGTCCTGGTTAACATTCTAGCAGCTGCATTCTGAATGAGCTGCAGCTTTTTTACAGTCTTTTTCAGGAGTCCTTTTAAGAGGCCATTACAGTAATCAACCCTACTAGAGATAAAAGCATGGATGAGCTTCTCTTGATCTTTTTGGGACACCAAGCCTTTGATTCTGGCTATATTTTTTAGATGATAGAATACTATTTTGGTGACCGCTTTGATATGACTGTTAAATGTGAGGTCTGAGTCTATCAGAACACCAAGATTACGCACTTGATCGCTGGTTTTAAGGACCCGAGAATCCAGCTCTTTACTAATACTTGTTCTTTTATTTTTGTTGCCAAACACAATAATCTCAGTTTTATCTTGGTTTAATTATAGACAATTTTGATTCATCCAGGTATTTATGTGCTCTATACAGTGACACAGAGAGTATATTGAGCTGTTGTCATACGGTTCGAGAGCCATATATATTTGAGTATCATCAGCATAGCTGTGGTAGTTAATGTTGTTGTTCTGTAAAATTTGGCCCAGAGGTAGCATATAGAGATTAAACAGAATCGGTCCGAGAACTGATCCCTGTGGAACTCCGCATGTCATAGCAACCCTATCAGATTCATGATTACCAATGGTGACAAAGTAACTCCGGCCATCTAGATAAGATCTGAACCAATCAAGGACTGTCCCAGAGAGTCCTACCCACTTTTCCAGCCTATCTATAAGTGTTCCATGATCGACAGTGTCAAATGATGCACTGAGATCTAATAGAACCAGAACTGTTACTTTATCAGAATCAGTATTCAGCCGTATATCATTTAAAACTTTAATCAGGGCTGTTTCAGTACTGTGGTGAGGTCGAAAACCTGACTGAAATTTGTCTAAGAGACCGTATGAGGTCACAAAATTGCTGAGTTGATTGAAGACAACCTTCTCAATGATCTTGGCTATAAAAGGGAGATTTGATACAGGTCTATAGTTGTTCATTATAGATGCATCCAGTGTTCTCTTTTTTAATAGAGGCTTAATGGCAGCTGTTTTTAGAGACGTTGGGAAAATGCCTGATTGCAGAGAGCTATTAACTATTTGCTGTAAGTCCATTGTTATAGAGTTAAAAATTGTTTTAAAAAAGTCTGATGGCAGTGTGTCGAGACAGCAAATGGAAGCTTTAAGATGTCGAACTGTTTCTTCTAGGGATTTTTGATCAATTGTATTAAAATGCGACATAATAACCAAGTTATGTCTTGGTGGTCGTGGTGACGGTACAGAGTCCTTTTTAGACTGAGCAGTTTTGATGGTCCGTCTTGTACTTATAATTTTTTCACTAAAGAAACACGCAAATTCATTACATTTCACAGTGGACATGAGTTCTGATGGTATCTGCTTTATTGGGTTTGTAAGCTTGTCAACCATGACAAATAGAGGGCGGGTATTGTTGATATTCTTGTTGATCATTCCCGATAAATGTTGCTGTCTGGCCCTGCGTAACTCATTGTTGAAGCTACCAAGGCTTTGTTTATAGATGTCATAGTGAATTTGAAGTTTAGTTTTCCTCCACTTACGTTCCGCTTTCCTACATTCTCTTTTCAGGGCGCTTACCATCATGGTGGTTCTCCATGGTGTTTTCTGTTTGCTCATAGTTTTCTTTACCTTTACCGGTGCAACACGATCCATGACATTCAATATTTTGGCATTAACATTATCCAGGAGTACATCAACTGACTCAGCACTTATTATTGGAGAGATAGCTATGGCTTCCATAAACTGAGCATTGGTACTCTCATTAATGTACCTTTTCTTAACAGAAACTGAGTTTACTGGAACATTCGGGGTGATAAGTGATTCAAAAAAGACACAGAAATGATCAGACAGGGCCATGTCTTTAACCATGACAGAGGAAATATCAAGACCTTTAGGGATCACCAGATCTAAAATGTGGCCTTGAGTGTGTGTGCGCTCTTTAACATGTTGAATGAGATCAAAAGTGTCAAGTAGTGCAAAAGGTTATTTGGCATTATTGTCTGTACTATTATCTATGTGGATGTTAAAATCCCCTGTAATAATAAACAAGTTATAATCAACTGATATAACAGAGAGTAGTTCAGCAAAATCATCAATAACATTTGCAGAATATTGTGGAGGTCTGTAAATGGTTGTAGTATCTGAACAGTTTATAATTTTGGCTGACATTTGCAAATGGTGTGTTAGATTAACTTTACTCTGCTTTGCTGAAACATCTGGAAAGCATTACTATAGGGCCCCCCTGAAACAGAGGACACTTGGATATGTGGAGGCCAGGGATTGGTCTATCCAAAACACCCATCTTATGTTACATAGGATATATACCAGGTTTTGAACAAAGGACGGGGAGAATAATCATATTTGAGATTGGGTTAGTTGTTCTCCAGATTCTGCAGAAATCTGTAAATTGACGCTGAAATCTTTTGATATAATAAACCTTTATAATCAAAGTACAGTGTCAGTGGATTCCTTGTCAACACAGCATAGCAGCATCGTTGTCTCGACACCACATGGTTAAAAACAAAATTTTGGGGGTACCCTTCAATGTAAAACAGAGGTATTCAAAATAAATAAAATTACCTAGTGTATTTTCTTTGCTCTGGAATGTATCTTTGAATAGGGCAGCCACTCCTCCTCCTTTCCTACCATTTCGACACGTATTCATATAGCCACATTTTTCAGGTGCTGTCTCGTTAAGAATGGCAGCACTACAGTCTTCTGTTAGCCACGTTTCAGTGAGAAACATAAAATCTAGGTTGTAGGATATTATAATGTAATTTACCAAGAATGATTTGTTGGCGAGAGATCTGATATTAAGTAAAGCCAGCTTAATAGATATAATAGGGGTTCCTGGACTAGTAGGATCGAAACAGTCAAATATCACACATCTACATTTAAACATTTGTTCAGCTCTTTTAGTCTGGTATTGAGACAAGTGACTGAGAATAGTGTAATATGAAGAGTATTACAGTCTGATATTGCAATTTTTTAAAACGTAGAACAGGTTCACATTTTGTTTACATAACCTGTTGCAAACTTTTTGATACCTCATGTTCCATCTGGTTAATATTACATTTACATTATTATTATTAGGTTCACATATAAAACAGAGAATGATAGGTTCAATTTGAAAATAGGTCATCCAATCAGTGTAAAGCCCAACCCATTTGAGCTGAGAATGGAGGGTTTCCTGACTGTTCAGTAATATCACAAATTGTAAAGAAAAGCCAGATTTCTCACATAAAGAAGAAACTGTCCCGCTGCTAGGGGACTTCCTCTTTTACCATATTTGGTCAGGAGAGGAACTCCAATGGCAAGGCAAAGGGAGAAGATGGAGCAAGATGAAAAAGTGAAAACATTCAGATACTACCTTGTCAGATGTACAGCAACCTGTCTGATAGCAATTTAATCTTCTTATGGATATGATACAATTCTCTGCAGAAGCAGTTGGAGGAGAATCAGCAGAAATCTGAGCTGAAAATCCAGGATAGAGAGAAGGAGATGCAGGAGCTGAGACAAGCTGTGTTCTCTCTGAAGGTGAATGTTGGGTCCATATATAGTGAAATTACAGTCAGGCTGTCTGGGGTCCTGGCGAGAGCTGAGTGAATAGGGTGGTTGAAATGGACCCCATCCTCTCTGTGTCGTAACAGTGCTCTGCACAGGCGTAATTGGAAGACAGTGAGAGGACCTTTACTGAGCTGATCCGCTCCATTAATGGAAGGCGCTCTGAGGTGAAGGAGCTGATCAGAGCCCAGGAGAAGGCTGATTTAAGACGGGCTAAAATGCGACTGAAGCAACTGGAGTAGGAGGTGGCTGAGCTGAGGAGGAGAGATGCTGAACTGGTGCAGCTTTCACACACAAATCACATCAATTTCCTCAAGGTGACTTCTCTATCCTAGATGTCCCTCACAAATTACTTTCCAATGACTATCTCTATACTTCTTTCCCAGTGAAATGTTCTTAAAAAATAACCTTTGTCTTTGTCAATATCGTAGAGTTTACAGTCTCTCTGTCCCTCCTGGATCTGAGGCCATACCCAGCATCATTGTCTCATTTAAGCATGCGAAGAAATTTGTCTCTGAACTGAAAGAGCGACTACAAGACATCTGCAAGGAGGAAATGGACAGGATATCTGGGAAAAGGCGGTAAAAAGCTCTTAAGTGTTCTTTTTGTAAATTCGTTTTTGCTAGAGATTAAATCTATTGTGCTATTTGATGGCTAAGTTACCATCACTCAGTGATGTTGCCCTCCTAAAAGTTGTTGTGTAGCCTACTGATGATGAGTGTCTGTGGCTAAAGTTCCAACTATTTGCCCTTCTGAGCAAAAGACCAGAGAGAATGTGAGTAAAGTGCGCACATGCATGCACACACACACACTTCATGTTCACCGACTGTAAAAAAAGGCTAGCTGGAACCGTTCTGAGTGGTCAGCTTCTGAGCCTTCACCTGCTATATGCTGAATGCTAAGGATCTGACCCACTACAGAGAGTTCAATAGGAACCAGGCAGTTGTATACATTTTTTGTCACTACTAACCAACCAACGCATTCCATACACTCAGTGAAAAATCTATTTTAGAAACATGCATATGAAAATGTAAATAATAGCAGAGAAATATAAACCCAGATAAATGCAGGCTACACATGCTAATTGTAAAAGGAATAACGTTACAACTGGGGATATGCAAATGTTATAGGCCTATAGAGGCCAGTAAAGGCAAATGTGTAGGTCTGCCTACTGATAATATCTGGAAGAAAACATAATGGATGGACCACATTCAGAAGCTAACCCAATGCAGAAACTCATCAAATAATATAGCTGCGAGCTGCAATGAACAGGTTTCACAGGATGACAAAAAGGACACAAGATCAGTTGGTTTACAAAGCAAGCACTCTATCATGTAGGAAATACCAAATTCAATGTAGTTCATCTTAGGGACATCCATGATAGCAATGACAAGTTTCAAGTTGATAGGCCACTGTGGATTTACAGTGGTTTAAATAGACATGTAAAATCAGATTTCCAGATTTATCGATAACTCAGCCATCTCTTAACCAATCCTTTTCTCAAACTAAGTTAAGAGTGCTATGGTGTTATGGTTCAGGAGAATACGTTTTTCAAAGTTTCAAAAAATGTCCATGATGGTGGAAGATCTATCCTGATGGACTTTATGGATTCTTGAGGCAAATTTGTTCAGCATTAGGAAAGACACCTACATACAAAGTTTCAAGTCTCTAGGTCAAATTGGGCAGCAGATGTGAGGGTTTATGTGGGACCGCTTATAAAAGCGCCACCTATTGGCCAATAGGAGCCATTCTTTTTGACCAAGATACTCATGGCCTCTAGTTTCTGTGTGCCAAATTAGAATAAAAGTTACCAATATATGCTTGAGTTATTTGACCATGTCAATAAAATAAAAAAAGAATACAGAATATATACCTTCGCTGTGAACCCCTAATTATTCTAAGTAAGTCAAACTAAAAAGCTTAGGTAAAAAACACCATAAGTTTGGTATAAAATGTGCATGCACATCCCACTGCACAAAAACTGGTTGAATCAACGTTGTTTCCACATCATTTCAACAAATAATTAAATGTGATGACGTTGAATCAACGTGGAAAACTGATTGGATTTGCAAAAAGTCATCAACATAAGGGAATTTAGTATTTTTTCACCTAACTTTGAACCTAAATCCAATGACATGGTGATTTTTTTTGTTGATTTCACGTTGAATTCTTGACAACTCAACCAAATGTAAATCAAAACTAGACGTTAAAATGACATCTGTTCCCAGTGGGACGTTAGCATATTCTCTAGCTTCGGGACCGCAACTATGGGAGTCTGTTGCGACATTGGACTGACGTGTCCCAACAGACTCCATAGATGTGGTCCCGAAGCTACATTGTTACATGCTGGCTCTACGAACAATGCTAAACAAAGTCACCTATAGCGTGAGACAACACCAGGATGTATGGTCCATATCTAAAGGTATACAGATGTAGTATCTTAATTTGATCACGTTTTTGTTGCTGAGAATCTTCCTGCACAGCAGGAAATGCAAACTTGTAGTGTATTCCAGGTTTAAAAAGGCTTCTAAAGTTTGTAATTTCCACTTTCAAATGTCAGACTTGATTTGCCTTAACGGAAAATCGATCAACCACATAATAATTCACATTTCCTGTTGTTGCAGGATTATTTTCCTGCTGTAGCAAACTGCCTCAAATTAAGATCCTACATCTGGAGAGGCATGCAAGAAGGTCAACACCAAACAGAGGCATAAAAGCATAGCAAACATTATACAAACACTACTCATGGTTGAATGGACGCACACATCACTCATCAACTTGACTAGGCCATCTCTGCTACCGAAGACTATGCCCATTATTTCCCACTCTCTTTTGGAAACTCACCTCACTCAGGAAGGAAAGGGCGCCGGGAGGTGATTGGCCATCATATGGCCTTTTTGAAACACTTTATTTTATCCTCTTCCTAGACTGCTGCCAGCTGACATTGGATCCCAGCACAGAAAATCAACTCCTGTGTCTGTCTCAGGTGAACAGAAAGGTGACCAGGAGTGATAAGGTCCAGCCTTATCCTTACCATCAACCTAGATTTAGCCACTGGAAATAGGTGTTGTGTAGAGAGGGTCTGTCTGGAGCCTGCTACTGGGAGGTAGAGTGGAGTGGGGTGGGTGTTGATGTAGCTGTCTCATATAAAGGGATCAGCAGGAGAGGAAGTGGTAAAGAGTGCTGGTTTGGAGGTAATGATCTGTCCTGGAGGTTGGACTGCTCTGCATTCAGATGCTGTTTCTACCACAATAGTAGAGAGTGATACACCTGCCATTCGTTGCTCCAGAGTAGGAATGTACCTGGACCACAGGGCAGAAACTCTGTTATTTTACAGTGTCTCTGACACAATGACCCTCCTCCACAGAGTTCAGACCACATTCACTCAGCCCCTCTATCCTGGGTTTGGGTTTGATTCATCTGTAAGGATACTGACACCTATTGAGTGGTAATTACCTACACTGTGATTACACTGTACTTGCCTATGTAACTACTATGTAAATAGATAAGTATTATGGACATATTGTAAAGTGGGGCCATTCTTTTTGTACTTTGATAAATGCCCTGCTGACTTGGTAATGAGATTCCTCTACAAGGATGTGGACTTGACCACCTTCCTGTGTCCTCACTGAAAAATCCTGCACATCAATCATCCTCTCTACACCGGCAATATGTACAGCAAAGGAAAAATTCAGTTGCTGTACAACGTACTCAATGCCAACCATAGGACAATGTGTTTAGACTGTAAGTAGGGTAGGCTACCATAATCTGGCCACGGTCACCTTTTGCCGCAAAAAAAACTTTATTCTGCTTTATCATATTGTCGTATCTTAATTGTAATCATGTCAGGTATGCATGAAGTATCCTGCTATGAGTCTAATAAAAGCCACCACACGCTATTTAAATTCAGCCTAAACTATATTTATACATGGACTCTCATTAAGTTCACATTCGGCTGTTAGATGTATTAGACACTACATTTGTTTCAGTGTGGTATGATTTATTTCTCTGCAGAAACACTTTGGGAAGAATCATCAGAAATTCAACTAGATAATCCAGGAGAGAGAGGAGGAGATACAGGAGCTGAGACCGGCTGTGGACTATCTGAATGTGAGCGTTGGACCATATATATATATATATATATATATATATATATATATATATATATATATATATATTACAGGCTGTCTAGGATCCTGGTGAGATCTGGGTGAATAGGCTGGTTCAAATGGACCCCCCTCCTCTCTGTGTGTGTGTCCTAACAGCACTCTGCACAGGCAGCAGTGGAGGACAGTGTGAGGATATTTTCTGAGCTGATCCGGTCCATTGAGGGAAGGCGCTCTGAGGTGAAGGAGTTGATCAGAGCCCAGGAGAAGGCTGAAGTGAGTCGGGCTGAAGGACTTGTGGAGCAACTTGAGCAGGAGGTGGCTAAGCTGAGGAGGAAACATGCTGCACTGGAGCAGCTCTCACACACAGAGGATCACATCCATTTCTTCCAGGTAAAAACCTAGGTTACATCACTAGTTCTGTACAGGCCTGAGCAGTCTCACATGATTCCTGAATACCAAATTAACCCATACATAGGCGCTTGAGTAGATCAGAGAGGATTGGATAGATAAGGCAATGTGGTGTTTGTCCATCTTGTCCTCTGAAAGACCATGTGGAATTGTTGCCATTTTATGGGACATCTATCCAATTCTCCCAGATCTCAAAAAGTGTTAGATTGTAAATTACTTTGCTTCTCAATCTATTTCTTTCTTTATTTTTTCTCTCTGTAGTTTCCAGTCTCTCTGTGTCCTTCCTGGATCTGTGGCCTTACCCAGCATCTCTGTCAACTCACACAAATCTTTAGCTTGTGTGAAGAAATGTGTCTCAGACCTGAAAAAACTACTAGAAAACTTGATGAAAAAGAACATGGTGAAGAAATCTGGAGCAGGTAATGAAGAACACATATTGACAGAAATAAATCTGGGAAATTGAATATTTCTACAAGAATATACAGTGGAGGAAAAAAGTATTTAGTCAGCCACCAATTGTGCAAGTTCTCCCACTTAAAAAGATGAGAGAGGCCTGTAATTTTCATCATAGGTACACGTCAACTATGACAGACAAAATGAGAGAAAAAAAATCCAGAAAATCACATTGTAGGATTTTTTATGAATTTATTTGCAAATTATGGTCGAAAATAAGTATTTGGTCAATAACAAAAGTTTCTCAATACTTTGTTATATACCCTTTGTTGGCAATGACACAGGTCAAACGTTTTCTGTAAGTCTTCACAAGGTTTTCACACACTGTTGCTGGTATTTTGGCCCATTCCTCCATGCAGATCTCCTCTAGAGCAGTGATGTTTTGGGGCTGTCGCTAGGCAACACAGACTTTCAACTCCCTCCAAAGATTTTCTATGGGGTTGAGATCTGGAGACTGGCTAGGCCACTCCAGGACCTTGAAATGCTTCTTACGAAGCCACTCCTTCGTTGCCCGGGCGGTGTGTTTGGGATCATTGTCATGCTGAAAGACCCAGCCACGTTTCATCTTCAATGGTCTTGCTGATGGAAGGAGGTTTTCACTCAAAATCTCACGATACATGGCCCCATTCATTCTTTCCTTTACACGGATCAGTCGTCCTGGTCCCTTTGCAGAAAAACAGCCCCAAAGCATGATGTTTCCACCCCCATGCTTCACAGTAGGTATGGTGTTCTTTGGATGCAACTCAGTATTCTTTGTCCTCCAAACACGACGAGTTGAGTTTTTACCAAAAAGTTATATTTTGGTTTCATCTGACCATATGACATTCTCCCAATCCTCTTCTGGATCATCCAAATGCACTCTAGCAAACTTCAGACGGGCCTGGACATGTACTGGCTTAAGCAGGGGGACACGTCTGGCACTGCAGGATTTGAGTCCCTGGCGGCGTAGTGTGTTACTGATGGTAGGCTTTGTTACTTTGGTCCCAGCTCTCTGCAGGTCATTCACTAGGTCCCCCCGTGTGGTTCTGGGATTTTTGCTCACCGTTCTTGTGATCATTTTGACCCCACGGGGTGAGATCTTGCGTGGAGCCCCAGATCGAGGGAGATTATCAGTGGTCTTGTATGTCTTCCATTTCCTAATAATTGCTCCCACAGTTTATTTCTTCAAACCAAGCTGCTTACCTATTGCAGATTCAGTCTTCCCAGCCTGGTGCAGGTCTACAATTTTGTTTCTGGTGTCCTTTGACAGCTCTTTGGTCTTGGCCATAGTGGAGTTTGGAGTGTGACTGTTTGAGGTTGTGGACAGGTGTCTTTTATACTGATAACAAGTTCAAACAGGTGCCATTAATACAGGTAACGAGTGGAGGACAGAGGAGCCTCTTAAAGAAGAAGTTACAGGTGTGTGAGAGCCAGAAATCTTGCTTGTTTGTAGGTGACCAAATACTTATTTTCCACCATAATTTGCAAATAAATTCATTAAAAATCCTACAATGTGATTTTCTGGATTTTTTTTTTCTCAATTTGTCTGTCATAGTTGACGTGTACCTATGATGAAAATTACAGGCCTCTCTCATCTTTTTAAGTGGGAGAACTTGCACAATTGGTGGCTGACTAAATACTTTTTTCCCCACTGTACACTATGTTCTCTAGTACAGTAACAATTGTATGTTGTTACCAAGTGATACTTGTTGACCAATGACCATTAATATGACTATTATTCTTTCTTCATCAGACTCCTGTAGCTCAGTTGGTAGAGCATGGCGCTTGCAACGCCAGGGTTGTGGGTTCGTTTCCCACGGGGGGCCAGTATGAAAATGTATGCACTCACTAATTGTAAGTTGCTCTGGATAAGAGTGTCTGCCATAAAATGTAAAAAGGTTTACATTGTTCCACTTACTGATCCCAAGACCAGAGAGGAGTTCTTGAAATGTAAGCAATACTACAAGATATACATACAGTGAGGGAAAAAAGTATTTGATCCCCTGCTGATTTTGTACGTTTGCCCACTGACAAAGAAATTATCAGTGTATCATTTTAATGGTAGGTTTATTTGAACAGTGAGAGACAAAATAACAACAAAAAAATCCAGAAAAACGCTTGTCAAAGTTTATTGATTGCTTTTAATAGGGTATTTACCCCTGCAAACATGACTTATACTTGTGGCAAACCCTTTTGCAATCACAAGTAACGTTTCTTGTAGGGCAGGTAGCTTATGGTAAATTTGCCAGTACCCCTGGTTCTAATCCATAGCCGACTTAGTGAAAACGTGCCCTGAGCAAGGCACTTACCCTAATTGCTCCGTGCGCTCTGGATAAGAGCGGGCTAAATACAATATTTATTATTTAGTTGGCCACTAGGTTTGCACACATCTCAGGAGGGATTTTGTTCCACTCCTCTTTGCAGATCTTCTCCAAGTCATTAAGGTTTTCGAGGCTGAACGTTGGCAACTCGAACCTTCAGCTCCCTCCACGATTTTCTTGGGATTAAGGTCTGGGAGACTGGCTAGGCCACTCCATGGACCTTAATGTGCTTCTTCTTGATCCACGCCTTTGCTGCCTTGGCCGTGTTGTTTTTGGTCATTGTCATGCTGAATACCCATCCACGACCCATTGTCAATGCTCTGGCTGAGGGAAGTAGTTCTCACCCAAGATTTGACGGTACATGGCCCCGTCCATCGTCCCTTTGATGCGGTGAAGTTGTCCTGTCCCCTTAGCAGAAAAACACCCCCAAAGCATAATGTTTCCACCTCCATGTTTGACGGTGGGGATGGTGTTCTTGAGGTCATAGGCAGCATTCCTCCTCCTCCAAACACGCCGAGTTGAGTTGATGCTAAAGAGCTCGATTTTGGTCTCATCTGACCACAACACTTTCACCCAGTTCTCCTCTGAATCATTCAGATGTTCATTGGCAAACTTCAGACGGCCCTGTATATGTGCTTTATTGAGCAGGGGGACCTTGCGGGCGCTGCAGGATTTCAGTCCTTCACGGCGTAATGTGTTTCCAATTGTTTTCTTGGTGACTATGGTCCCAGCTGCCTTGAGATCATTTACAAGATCCTCCCGTGTAGTTCTGGACTGATTCCTCACCGTTCTCATGATCATTGCAACTCCACGAGGTGAGATCTTGCATGGAGCCCCAGGCCGAGGGAGATTGACAGTTATTTTGTGTTTCTTCCATTTGCGAATAATCGCACCAACTGTTGTCACCTTCTCACCAAGCTGCTTGGTGATGGTCTTGTAGCCCATTCCAGCCTTGTGTAGGTCTACAATCTTGTCCCTGACATCCTTGGAGAGCTCTTTGGTCTTGGCCATGGTGGAGAGTTTGGAATCTGATTGATTGATTGCTTCTGTGGACAGGTGTCTTTTATACAGGTAACAAGCTGAGATTAGGAGCACTCCCTTTAAGAATGTGCTCCTAATCTCAGCTCGTTACCTGTATAAAAGACACCTGGGAGCCAGAAATCTTTCTGATTGAGAGGGGTCAAATACTTATTTCCCTCACTGTATGTACCCCACAAGTATGCATACTCATGACCATTTACTAGCAATCACAGAAACACACACACCTAACTTTTTATTTTCTGTGTTTTATTCACTCCTGCCAGCTCACTTTGGATCCAGACACAGCCAATGAGTACCTCTGGCTGTCTGAGGGGAACAGAAAGGGGACATGTAGAAAAGAGTCTTAGTCCTATCCTTACCATCCAGACAGATTTATCAACATTGACCAGGTGTTGTGTAGAGAGGGTCTGTCTGAAGCCTGCTTCTGGGAAATAGGGTGGAGCAGGGAGAGAGTTGAAGTAGCTGTCTCATACAAAAGCATCAGCAGGGATGGAGAGGAATATGGGAGTGATTTTCAATGGAATGATCAGTCCTGGTGTTTGAACTGCAACACGTCCATCTGCACTTTCTGGCACAATAATAACATGACGGATATCCCTGTCCCCTGCCCCTCCAGAGTAGGAGTGTACATGGACCACTGGGCAGGAACTCTGTCCTTTTACAGTGTCTCTGACACAATGACCCTCCTCCACAGAGTCCAGACCACATTCACTCAGCCCCTCTATCCTGCATTTGGGTTTTATTATGATGACTCATATGTGAGGATACTGACACCTATTTAGTGAAAAACATATACAGTTTAGTTTATTTATTCACACACACAAAAAAACTAGTGAAAGACATACATACAGTGCAGGTGAGGTTGGAAACCCAAGAGGGCTTATATGAAAACCACACAAAAAAACGATGTATATGAAAACCACAAAAGATTATATGTAAACAAAACAGATTGTTCAATCAACAGATAAGTATAAACATATTAGTCATACGTGCGCTTCAATGTGGAGGGAATGATTGTGAAGTAAAAGCCCTCATTGAATTTTGTTTATTCAATGTCTGAGAGCACAGCATTGCTGAACTATTCAAGGGTAGTAGTCAATTATACGTACTTGATTATTAAGTCGCTTGGCTGTTGCACTATAACTGAAATCTGTGTATTTGGGACATTATAAAATCTTTGTAATGAAACTAATAATGTATGTTGATTATGTGCCTTCATGAAGATAACTGCTTGATTGTATTATATCATGTTTGTGTTCAATGAGGTAGAAGAACCTTGAAATTGAGGTACTTTGGTTCATATTCAGTGTCATATTTTTGTTAATTTCTATGTTCAATTGTTGTTAGTTTATCAATATCATTATCACAATACAAGATACTCAATAATCCAAAGAACAAAATCTGCACATTAATACTGTGCTTGTTTAACTGATGACCAACATATCCTATTTAATGAACTACCATGTAAATAAATAGGTAGGTATTAGGGACACATTGTAAAATGGGAAGAAAAATTTTTTAATGTCTAATTAAAGTGAGCCAATGATTTGTGAGTTTGTGTTGTAGTTCCATTCAAAAACCTGTAACCTGAGGAGAGGCACATGTAGACCACATGCCCCACCTCCAGCAGTAATGGCTGTGGTGGATATGGCGTTAGAGCATGGCGTTTGCAATGCCAGGGTTCGATTCCCACGGGGGGCCAGTATAAAAAAAATATGTATTCACTAACTGTAAGTCGCTCTGGATAAGAGCGTCTGCTAAATGACTAAAATGTAAATGTAAAATGGATATGCACTTGTTATGGTCACTAGTAACATTTCCATCATTGGGCAAGTGCATTTTGAATGGTCCGGTGCCCCGGGTGGGTGGAGATTCCACTTAAGGACCAATGGGGCACCGTGCCATGCCAAACGAACTCACCCAATGTTCTATACATGAGCACACCCACATACAGGCAAAATTCTGAACATTTGTTTTGAATATGTGAATATCACAGCACTGAGAATGCACTGTGACAGCCCACGTATTCCCTCTACTGGCCTGACCTGGTATTTGATTTGAGTTCACGCCATAGCATAATTGTATACCAGTGGGGTATTCCAGGAAGCAGGATTATTAAATTAGCCAGCTAACATTGATAAAACAGCCACATGACATGATTTTCTGGTTGATTAAGAAAGCTACATTTGTATATGGGTTATTGTTGAGTCAATTATACCTTGTCAACTGTAAGTCTATATTTCTAAAAAATAGGAACTTATTTCAAGCAATTTTGGACAGTTAGCTGGCTAACTCATTGATCCAGCATTCTGGAACAGTTGAATATAAATGAAACGTATGTCCGATATGGCTGCTCAGTGATAACTCTGACCAAACATTACAGCTCTGTCTCCGACACACCGTCCTTCCTCCACATTAACACAGATTAAAGGAAATCAGATTCAGCCCATAATATCTACCTTCCTAACATACTCTATATTCATATCATACAGGGGTGGACATGGGAAACAGGAAAAATAGGACATCCAGAAATACAATTGTTACGACATCCTTGTTTATTTTTTTGAATTGACGACAATGGCTAAGGAAGATAATGAGTATATAGAGTACGGCAACATATTGCAGAGTTTAAAAAGTAGACAAAAAAGAAAATACAAAGAAAGCAACAAGTGTGGTCCAGCTAAATAAAACATATTGTTGACAGAGAAAGATCAATGTGTGAGGAGCTACAGCCCGACTCTCACAGGAACATCCTGGGGCTATTCACTGGGGTTCTGGATGACTATCAATAGATACTCCTTGTCTGGAAGAGAGAGGAGCAAACAAACTGTAGAACCACTGAATGTGTTTAATTACATTTCACTGAATGTGTTTAATTACATTTAAAATGTTTCATTACCTTTATGTTAAACAATTAATCAAATAGTTAATAAATGAAATGCACATTATCGATATGTCAGATATATTGATGATCTTCACGTGTCTGGGCCTGCCTCGAGTACCTGAACCACCTCTGCTTCACTCACCAGGTGCCACCATGATCTCATGCTTCTTGGAGCGGATGCGGAGGAAGGTCAGGTCATTCTGAGGGTCGATGTCTCGGACTGTGCTCCTCGCTTTCATTGTGAGCTGGTGCAGCAGACCAGCATACTGCACCGTAGTGGAGTTGTCTAAGGTAGTTCTTATTGGGATCCCTGAGAAAGACCAATACATAGCATCAACTTTAGTAGAAATGTGATGAGGGTAGTACTGATTAGTTAGCCTGCTAGATAAATTCAAATGGTATGTCTAAAGTGTAAAAATGTCTTGACATATTGTGGCTATAGGTACAGCTCCTATAAGAGAATGTAGACATTGTATTGCTTACCCTCGGCATTAACAACTATTGTTCCAATTACACCTTTGTGAGTTTGAATTCTCTTTAGTGTCTCCTCAACTTCTGCCTGTTTAGGGGGGGAAATGAAGCATGTCACTAAATCTTTATGCTATAGCAAGCAGCTTTAGCACGCTCATCTGACCAAGACCCTCAAGACAGTCAACAGCTAGCATAATGTTACCGCATTCATAGACGCTAACCCCTTTAGCGCCTATTGATAATAGTATCTTCTGACTGGGGAAGTTTTGTTAATAGCCCCGAAGCTTGCTCTAAACATTAACACGCATCGTTTGCGGTACGTTTTTGGAGACATAAGTAATGCATCTTTCACATCAGCGAGAAATAATTTCCCCAAAACAAAAGGTTAAATTACTACACACTTTTATAGGGTTAGTGTTCCCACACGGCCATTTCTAAATGTACCATCGCTGGTTTATGGAAGACAGACGGAAGACATAGGCGGCCACCTGTGCTAATTAGCTACTGTATAATAATATAATAATATGCCATTTAGCAGACGCTTTTATCCAAAGCGACTTACAGTCATGCGTGCATACATTTTTGTGTATGGGTGGTCCCGGGGATCGAACCCACTACCTTGGCGTTACAAGCGCCGTGCTCTACCAGCTGAGCTACAGAGGAGCTAGCTGAGCTACAGAGGAGCTATCTAGCGTGCTCCGAACACCTGTGTGTAAGTGTAGGAAATTTAGTTCATCACCTGGAGGCACACAGATTGTGGATCTGTGCAAAACTGCTACAGTAATTGTAGCTATCATTTTTTATCTGAAAGACTCTTTCTCGCTCATATGAAAGACAAGGGGGGATATCAGCATATGTTTCGAAAATAGGTTTGAAAGCGACGATCGCCTTTTCTAAACATTAAAACACAGCGTCGGAATTGTAGTTCACATGGAGCCAAATGCGGGCGAATGTAACCGCTGAAAACCCATTACTGAAAAGAAGGGTTTTCGAGAACTAGCATAACGTTAGCTAGCAAGCTTACGTTAAAGTGGGATGGGTATTTGCTGTTGCCGTCACGTAGCTAAGCTTTTACATAACTATTATTGAACTGGCTACATGAGGCAAAACATGTAATTTTTATGAAAATATTCATGATATATTTTTCACCATATTTGCAGATGCTGTCAATGTTGTTGTTGTTGTCGTAGACTAGCAAGCGGCTTCCTTCACTCCTGTTCTGTTTTTTCTTCCTCAGTGGTACCACTGTGACGTAGGCAAGAATAACTAAGTACTTCTGGGTCACGGATTTTTGGAATCCTTCAGAATAGAAGTCCCGTCCTGTATACTTTGTAAGTGAATAATTAGGGCGAATATTAAGGAAAATGTGCACAATTATCTATATATTTTTCATACAAAAACTAATTAAACGTATTTCTATGAAATATTATGTGATGTATTTGTTGATTTTTTTATTTATTTCAAACCTAAATGGTCAACAATGTTTTTTGTGTGTATGGTACAGGAGGTTGGTGGCACCTTAATTGGGGAGGACGGGCTAGTGGTAATGCCTGGAGCGGTATAGGTGGAAAGGTATCAACACGCCTTTCCAGGCATTATTATGAGCCGTCCTCCCCTCAGCAGCCTCCACTGGTGTATGCCTATCATTTATTGCACCACACACAATTTTCTGTGGGTTGTGTCACAGTATTCTACTCAGAAGCACTTATAGTTTCCAAATCCACAGAGTTTACATCCCAAGGAGCATCACTGCTCATTATGTGGCCCTTAAAGAGTGGCATATCAGCCTAAATCCAATCCGGTTGGGTGATTTAAATGTGTAAAGTCTGCAGCCTTCTCATTATTAGGATAATGTAGGTCATTTACAGGTATGCCAGTCAGTTAACACTGATCACATTGTTTCCATTGTTTATGTATGAAAATGTATGCACTCACTAACTGTAAGTCGCTCTTGATAAGAGTAGAAGGATTACTTTTACTTTTATACATTCCCTTAAAGAGTGTGGGGTTCTATTTTCTCATAACTGGATGGGATGACTAACTTAGAAAGAATTCATTAATGATTAAAGCATAAAAGGTCTGTACTGTACTGATATGAATTGTTTCACATAACAGGCTGTGATTCATGTGAGGAACGTTAGGGGCTAGGATGAGATAAAACTTGTATTTCTTATAGATAAGACTTGTATTTCTCACAGATACGAACACTGCCTCTTTGTTGTCTGTGAACCGTCCTTGAACGTAGTACAGTGGAATGGTGTCTTTTGGGTGCTAACTCCACAGGTTATTATGATAGCAACTTATGCCTGGGAACGGTGGAGCGCCAAGGGAATGGGACCAGCCCGTGCGCCAACGGATTGGCTGAGTAAGTCTAAACCACGCTCAGTCTCTACTCTGATTGGCCAGCAGAGAGTGGGAACTATCTCTGTCAGAGTATTTGAAGAAGAACCTGTAACAATGGATTAGTTCTCTGTCTGCCCTGCGTGGTATTTCAGTGAGCCCGTATACGAACCAACATACTTATCATACATACATTTTGCATATAATAAATTTAGCTTGGATTGAATATCTCTTGATTATGTTTTCTCTTATTCCAATACCAGATTTGAATTACGCAATTTCTAACAAGAGGTAGGGTTTCAAGTATCTCTGGAAGGTGGTCAGTGACTCCACTGTCCTGGCGTCGTGAGGGAGCTTGTTCCATCATTGGGGTGCCAGAGCAGCGAACAGTTTTGACTGGGCTGAGTGGGAACTGTGATTCCGCAGAGGTAGGGGGACCAGCAGGCCAGAGGTGGAAGAACGCAATGTCCTCGTTTAGGTGTAGGGACTGATCAGAGCCTGGTCCTTACCGTTCTGCCGCCATAGGCGAGACCAAAAAATGGCCTTGATTTCAACGTCCACGCGTCCACGGACATTGATTCTTGGTCTGATCCGGAACAAATCTGAACCAATCATAGGCATCTTTTGGTCTTGCCTAGGGCGGCAGAATGGTAAGGACCGGACCTGACTCAAGTATCACATGAATACACATTAGACATAGCAAAATGTGTAGAATTGCAAGAAAATGGGCTTAAAATGGCAAAATGTTCTCTACACCCCATGACAAAAGGTGTAGAATTGCGGGAAATAAGCTTTAACCCTCTCTGCTTAACCTCTTACAACAAACTCTATGGGCTAAAAATACCTAGCTAAAAAACGTTAGCTGACATTGGCTAGTTGATCTAGACATTTCTGACAAGTTATAAATAGCTTTATTTATTTTTATTTAACCTTTATTTAACCAGGTAAGCCAGTTACCTGCGACCTGGCCAAGATAAAGCAAAGCAGTGCGATAAAAACAACACAGTTACATATGGGGTAAACAAAACATAAAGTCAGAAATACAACAGAAAATATATATACAGTGTGTGCGAATGTAGTAAGTTATGGAGGTAAGGCAATAAATAGCCATAGTGCAAAATAGTTACAATTTCATATTAACACTGGAATGATAGATGTGCAAAAGATGATGTGCAAATAGAGATACTGGGGTGCAAATTAGCAAAATAAATAACAATATGGGGATGAGGTAGTTGGGTGGGCTAATTTCAGAAAGGCTGTGTACAGGTGCAGTTATCGGTAAGCTGCTCTGACAACTGACGCTTAAAGTTAGTGAGGGAGATAAGAGTCTCCAGCTTCAGAGATTTTTGCACTTCGTTCCAGTCATTGGCAGCAGAGAACTGGAAGGAATGGCGGCCAAAGGAGGTGTTGGCTTTGGGGATGACCAGTGAGATATACCTGCTGGAGCGCAGACTACGGGTGGGTGTTGCTATGGTGACCAGTGAGCTAAGATAAGACGGGGATTTGCCTAGCAGTGATTTATAGATCACCTGGAGCCAGTGGGTTTGGCGACGAATATGTAGTGAGGGCCAGCCAACAAGAGCGTACAGGTCACAATGGTGGGTAGTATATGGGGCTTTGGTGACAAAACGGATGGCACTGTGATAGACTACATCCAATTTGCAGAGTAGAGTGTTGGATGCTATTTTGTAAATGACATCGCTGAAGTCAAGGATCGGTAGGATAGTCAGTTTTACGAGGGCATGTTTGGCAGCATGAGTGAAGGAGGCTTTGTTGCGAAATAGGAAGCCGATTCTAGATTTAACTTTTGATTGGAGATGCTTAATGTGAGTCTGGAAGGAGAGTTTACAGTCTAACCAGACACCTAGGTATTTGTAGTTGTCCACATACTCTAGGTCAGACCCGCCGACAGTAGTGATTCTAGTGGGGTGGGCGGGTGCAAGCAGCGTTCGGTTGAAGAGCATGCATTTAGTTTTACTAGTGTTTAAGAGCAGTTGGAGGCTACGGAAGGAGTGTTGTATGGCGTTGAAGCTCGTTTGGAGGTTTGTTAAAACAGTGTCCAATGAAGGGCCAGATGTATACAAAATGGTGTCGTCCGCATAGAGGTAGATCCGAGCGTCACCAGCAGCAAGAGCGACATCATTGATATACACAGAGAATAGAGTCGGCCTGAGAATTGAACCCTGTGGCACCCCCATAGAGACGGCCAGAGGTCCAGACAACAGGCCCTCCGATTTGACACATTGAACTCTATCTGAGAAGTAGTTGGTGAACCAAGCGAGGCAGTCATTAGAGCATATGACCGCTTGCGGGTACTGCGTGATTTAAACTGATAAGCCACTCTTTAAGGGCCGCAGAATGAGCAGCGACGGTCCTTGGGTTGTAAACTCTGTGGATTTGGAAAACTAGAGGTGCTCCTGAGTAGAATCGACCCCCCTTTTACTGCGACACAATGTACTGTACAGGATTTTTTTTTAAATAACAAATAATAATAATTAGATGTTTTATTGCCACATACATAGGATAGGGTCAGACATATATATATTTTCCTATTATTGAACAAAATTCTAAGTCTGCTAAAATTTCCTCATAAAATGTTACGAATATGGACCATTTGTATTATTTTTATATTTATATCTTCATTGCGGGACTTTTATTTTTAAGGGAAATCGCCGAGGTCACGGCCTTCTTCTTGGTAGGTCTTGCTTATTCTTGCTGGCGGAACGGAGGTCTCAGTGGTTCTGCTACTAGCTACGTAGAAACGGAAGTAACTAGCAATTCGAAAAGAAGTAGCTAGCTAGCTAGCATCCTCAAACACTTCACATAAAAAATGCCGGAGTTAGCGGTAGAAAATGTGGTTGTCCATCCACTTGTGTTGCTCAGCGTGGTGGATCATTTTAATAGGTATGTAATTAATAATATATCTGTTTGGAAATCACATCCATTCGCTACCTCTTTGCTAGGTTGCCACTTTTTGTACGAGATGATGATGTTGCAGCCAGGCTTAGCTTGCTCGTTAGCTGGCCAGCTAACCTGCTGAGTCAGAAACCCATTTGAAGCTTTGTATTTGTTAGCAATGACAGTAGCATAGCTAGCTAGTTTATTTTGGCTAGTCAATTGTAGTAACAGGCAAATAGCAAGCAACATTAACTGATAGAAAAAAATTGAATTGAAAAACATCTGTTTAGTCATATCCATAGAGCACAAGCCACAACATCATTATGGATCAGATTAGTTAGCTAGCTAACTTAGCCAGGGATAAAGTACTGTAGTTAGCTTGTTCAGGTGTTCCCAAACTTTCTCCACTCAGGCCCCCCTTCCAGCATTGGGTAACATCCCGCGCCCCCTACGTTTATTTTTATGGGGACAAGCACTGTTTATAATAATATAATATAATAATATGCCATTTAGCAGACGCTTTTATCCAAAGCGACTTACAGTCATGCGTGCATACATTTTTTTTTTGTGTGTATGGGTGGTCCCGGGGATCGAACCCACTACCTTGGCGTTACAAGCGCCGTGCTCTACCAGCTGAGCTACAGAGGACAAACTGTTTACACCCCTCTTGTTGTCGGAGAGAAGGTTTTGCATGTTTAAAGTTTATTTCCTGCAATTCTACACATTTTGTCATGGGATGCAGAGAACATTTTGCAGTTGCATAGCTCATTTTCTTGCAATTCTATACATTTTGCCATGTCTTTTTATTGTATTTATTTCACCTTTATTTAACCAGGTAAGCCAGTTGAGAACAAGTTCTCATTTACAACTGCGACCTGGCCAAGATGTGTATTCATGTGATATGAGTGACTCAAACATTACAACAAAATCTATGGGCTAAAAAACCTAGCCAAAGAGCGTTAGCTGACATGGGCTAGTTGATCTGGACATTTCTGACAAGTTATAAATAGCTCTCTGAAAACTGATGATGCACTTCCCAATTTCGAAATTGCACCTTGTGCATTCTACTATTACAACTTTCAAGAGTAAGTGGAAAGCCGGACTGAGTCCCCCCTGCGTTTGGGAATCACTGAGCTAGTTAACTAGGTAGCTAGTTATGTTAACTTTCTTAAAGATGCTCTCTCAAGTGTTTGTATAATTTCAGCCAGTAATTTTGAAAGTGGTACTCATGAGCCAAAAGTGGTCCCAGTTTTGTGTACTACATCATCATATTGCGTACATCCATTTCTTATGTTATGTCCTGCACATTTTAAAAATCTAAGTTTGTTTATTTTGCAATTCATATATGTTACGAATCCAATTCATACTATATGTTACGATTTTGTTGTGCTTAAGATCCTGGAGTGCATCTTTAAGTTAGTTCCACTAAGACATCCTATGATATTGATTGTGTAAATGTGCTGTTTTGACAGAATAGGGAAAGTAGGCAACCAAAAGCGAGTAGTGGGTGTCCTCCTCGGCTCTTGGCATAAGAAAATCCTTGATGTGTCCAACAGCTTTGCAGGTGAGTTCTTCTCTTTTCATGTACTAATATAACGTGTTTGTTGCTCGTTTATAACATCCTTATTATATTTGTGATAGAACTAAAATAATAATTATGATCACTGAACATTTAGCTATATAGCTATGCCTGTTGTTGGATCCAATATTGATTGTGTTTTTTTCTCCAGTGCCTTTTGATGAGGATGACAAGGATGATTCAGTGTGGTTCCTGGATCATGACTACTTGGAGAATATGTACAACATGTTCAAGAAAGTCAATGGTGAGACCACACACTATACATTATTACAGTTTAACTATATAAATTCAGTCTCATCAACTTCTACATAGTCTGGCTATGAGATTCTTAAACCTTTTCCTTCTCTTCTCTCCAGCCAGAGAGAGGATAGTGGGCTGGTATCACACAGGTCCTAAACTACATAAGAATGATATTGCCATCAATGAACTCATCAAGCAATACTGCACCAATTCAGTAAGTGCTTTCCACCCAGTAAATATTCCACATTAATACCGGTAAGAAATATTTGTCTCATCTCCTGTTGAAATGATTAAATTGTATTGATAATGCAGCAGATAATTAATTGAACATTGACTGTTTGTATGGCACTTTCCCCCTCAGGTATTAGTGATCATTGATGTAAAGCCTAAGGACCTGGGCCTGCCTACAGAAGCCTACTTCTCTGTGGAGGAAATACATGACGTAAGTGGAGCATAATACATGATGTAAGTGGAGCATAATACATGACGTAAGTGGAGCATAATACATGACGTAAGTGGAGCATAATACATGACGTAAGTGGAGCATAATACATGACGTAAGTGGAGCATAATACATGACGTAAGTGGAGCATAGACTTGTTTGAGACTAAATTACAAAATAAGTCAAACCCTGGACCAGCCAACCCTGGGGGATCTGTGCTGATTTTGGACTGGGCATACAAGTGATCACTGTGAAAGAAAGGAAGACGTTTACTCTAAAAGGGTTCTTGTTTCTTCACTCTTCCAGGACGGCACCCCGACCTCCAAAACATTTGAACATGTGACCAGTGAGATTGGAGCCGAGGAGGCAGAGGAGGTAGGCGTGGAGCACCTTCTCAGGTACACATTATTTTTTAACTGGACTTTGCAGACACAACACATTTAATGGATTTTCAATTACAGTTTCATGCTTAACACCACACCGAACAGACTTGCACTAATGTGGACTCTAAACTTGATATATTCTACCCCATCTACAGAGACATCAAGGACACGACAGTGGGTACTCTGTCACAGCGCATCACTAACCAGGTACATGGCCTAAAGGGGCTCAACTCCAAGCTACTGGACATCAGGTCTTACCTGGAGAGAGTGGCTGCAGGAAAGTTGCCCATCAACCACCAAATCATCTACCACCTACAGGACATATTCAACCTGCTTCCTGATGTCAACCTTCTGGTAAGCTGGGGTATAGTATGGGGGTGGTTTGTGTGGGAGCAAGGGAGCCGGGGGTGGCAGGCTTGGTAATCAATATTAGCTTTTTTATTTTGAAAGAGTACACAGACACATTTTAGTTCTCAAATCAAACAAATTCACGTGGGTATGATCTACTACTTCATTACAATGAACAGATAGTCTGGCTTTTTCCACCAGATTTTCCCTGTTTAGTTAATCATAATACACAATGCCCTAATCCTGCCACTTCTCCCTGAAGGAGTTCACAAAGGCCTTCTACCTGAAGACCAACGACCAGATGCTGGTCGTCTACCTGGCGTCCCTCATCCGCTCAGTGGTGGCTCTCCACAACCTCATCAACAACAAGATCTCCAACCGTGATGCTGAGAGGAAGGAGGGACAGGAGAAGGAAGAGGGCAAGAAGGAGAAGAAAGAGGACAAGGAGAAGAAGGAAGAGAAGGAGAAAGGTGACGCCTCGTCCAAGAAAGATGAGAAGAAGAAGAAATGAGTGTGCACTATTTGTGTGCGTCTTAAGTCATACCCTATTCCCCTGGATAGTGCACTACTTTTGGCCTGAGCCACATGCGTCTGTGTATGGGTCTAGCTAAAAGTAGTGCTCTATATGGGGGTATGGTGTCATTTGAGACTTGCCCTTTGTCATAACTGGATCTGAATAACTATAGTGCTGAGGGTGACAGGGTGGTTGTGTGTTGGATGTTCTCTACAATGAGAACATGTTTGTTCTGCACCGTCTGGGCTGTGTTCAGTAGGGCACAACGTTACGGAACCTCAGATAGAAATCCATATTGTAGAACAGACATGCCTCTCTGACATGTGAGGAATCAGGTCAGCTCCATTCTGGTATTTCTATCTACAACGTTCAGTAAATTGCCCCCTCCTGAATGTGACCCTGGTGTTGTGTGTGTATATATATATATACATGGTTGCCTGGGAGCTGTTATCTTTTGTATGCTGAAAGGAACCTTCAGTTTCTGTATCACTCATTAAAGTAGGGTCATATTAAATAGTTTTTGTTACGTTTCCAATTTGCAAATCTTGTTTTCTTTTGTCCCTTGCCTTTGTTTGGGTGTGTTTTGTTGTACTGTATGATATTTCATGTCATAGAAACACAGGGAGGAGAATTGTGAGGTTATGCAGCCTCGCCTGCAGTCTTGCCTGTCATTTGTGGGGAAGATGCATTCAAGTCTGGTGATGGACTGTATATTATGAATCTCTCACACAACACAGGCTATACCAAGTTAAGAGTGGTTTGATGTTTATTTTTCCATTCGGATTAACTGTAGACAAAGATTATTGACAAAGGACCTATACTGGGTTACTTGATGACACAACCTTTACAGCCAATGAACTAATAGTTTCTGAAGTGCCCTACAATATTTGCACATTATTCATTTAAGAATTCTTCAAGCTCTGTCAAGTTGGTTATTGATCTTTGCTAGACAGCCATTTTCAAGTCTTGCCATGGTTTTTCAAGCTGATTTATGTCACTAGGCCACTCAGGAACATTCAATGTCGTCTTGGTAAGCAACTCCAATGTAGGTTTGGCCTTGTGTTTTAGGTTATTGTCCTGCTGAAATATGAATTTGTCTCCCAGTGTTTGTTGGAAAGCAGACTGAACCAGGTTTTCCTCTATGATTTAGCCTGTGCTTAGCTCTATTCTGTTTCTTTTTATCCTAAAAAACTCCTTGCAGATGACAAGCATACCCATAACATGATGCAGTCACCACCATGCTTGAAAATATGAAGAGTGGTACTCAGTGATTTTTTTATTGGATTTGCCCCAAACATAACGCTTTGTATTCAGGACAAAAAGTTCATTTCTTTGCCAGATTTTTTGCAGTTTTACTTTAGTGCCTTTTTGCAAACAGGACGCATGTTTTTGAATATTTTTTATTCTGTACAAGCTTCCTTTTCGCTGTTATTTAGGTTAGTATTGTGGAGTAACTACAATGTGGTTGACGCCTCTGCGTTTATTATGATCATCCTTGTCATGACGCAGCACTAGGCTAGTATGGCGAAGAAGCGTTTCTACATAGATTTGGATGTGTAGATTTATATTCTAACATACAGTAAAATAACGGTAGGTATGGTTTATTGTACGACAAACTGCGCAATTACTTTCACACTAGTAGCTAATTCGAAAATTGTACCATGCAATCTATGGTATGCAACGAGGAATACGGCGGTAGGCTATTATAAAATGTGCAGCAACTCAGGGTGCGTCAGGTAAATCAGATTTTGGTCGGTGGTAAAATGTATTGTGACGTCAGGGTTTAAAACCCCAGGGGAGGGAGAGCATCGCATGGTAAAGTAGGCGAGGAAGAGCGAGCACGAGAGACGCACCACCCACCAACATTCTTTTTCCCTATTGATCAGGGTATGACTCCTCAAATATCATCCTAGTGAGGAGTGAACAGCAAGAGCGGTGATATGGCCTATATCCAGGTAAGGTGTACCCTGTCCCTATGCTATATTTGTAATGTCAGTCAGATCCCTCGTCTTGCTCTGGGCAGAATGGTAATCTGCAGAATGAACGTTTCTGAGTTACGTGTCGGAGTGTGGTTTCATAACGACATCGGTATTGCGGGACATGTGTGAATACATCACTGGCGTGTTACTTAGTTGGTAGTTTACATTATTTCATAATTCGGCAGTCTGTCAGACCTAGTAGGCTATGGAGTCCTAAAAGCAGATCGCACGTCTCACCCACAAACACGTGGTTTAAAGGAAGCTTAAACGTTGCCAGGGCGCCTGGCTCCTATGTGTGCGTGTTTCAGTTTGCAACGACGTTTGGTCACCTCAATTGCACGTTTCTGTACCATCATTTCCTAAATGTGTTTGATCTCTTTGCTCCTTCAGATACCTGATGATGAGAAAGGGTATGAGTTCGACCTCTTCTGTGTCCCCAAACACTATGAGGAGGATTTAGACCGGGTCATCATCCCTCATGGACTGATCATGGACAGGTAAGTCAAACCATCACCACTGGACTGGCACTCTTTGGACCTGGGTAGGCTACTGTACTATAGCATCATCATTACACACTTTCCTATTCCCTTGTGGAGTAAATCAGAACTTTACGTTTGTACCAATTCCTCTATGCCTCCATTGTTTTCTTAATTTACCCATGGTTGCTAAGGTATTTTGTTGGATAGCGCTCACCAACATTTGTTAGACAAATCAGTGTTAGGCATCTAGACCAGCAGTGATGTATTGTACTAGTGTATAGCCATCATCAATTTGCATTGCAGACATGGAGAAGGCAAGCAGCAGCTTTATGAATGAAACACACTGGCAGTCGGATACCCTGTTGTAGAATCCCATGTTAAACCCTGTTATGAATAGTAGGACTCCAACCAGATCATTTGATTTGACCCAGTCAGCAACTTTTCAGCCAGTTTTCCACACATGGCCAATACTAGCCTTAAACCATGATGTTCTGACTGACCAGATCACAAACCAACTGAAGATTGATTGATGAGCCTGCACAGAAATGACAGGTCCCATGCCATTGTATCTCCCTCTCTCCTGTCATTTTTATCCTCCTCTATCTGTTCCTTCTCTCGCTCTCTAGGACTGAGCGCCTGGCTCGTAATATAGTCCGTGACATGGGGGGACACCATATAGTAGCACTGTGTGTTCTCAAAGGAGGTTATACATTCTTTGCCGACCTGCTGCACTACATCAAGGCCCTAAATCAGAACAGCGAGAAGTCTGTCCCGTTGACTGTGGATTTCATTAGGCTAAAGAGCTATTGTGTAAGTGAACCACTCCACGTTTCTCTCACTCTCCTTCAATAGCCTCCAATGCTGTAAGAAAGATGACAATCTTTGTATGTAAGCAATGCAGCCGTTGCTTATTCTGGGTGTATTGTTGCTGGAGAAGTTTGTGTGTTTAGCCAACCCCTGTATTATCTGTTGTCATGCCACAAGGGTTGGCTTAATCACAATGTGATCTGCTACTAGACTCTGATCTGATGCATGAGCAAATAACACTGCAATTGGACAACACTGTTATTTTAATGTATTACTAGATCACCTTATGATTATTTGACCATCACCCTCTTCCTGGGTGAGATGTGTAGTTTTACTGATGTGTGTGTGTGTGTGTATTGTCCACAGAATGACCAGTCTACAAACATTGTCAAAGTTATCGGAGGGGACGAGCTTTCTACTCTAACAGGGAAGGTGAGATTTGATTGCTTGCCATAACCACTGATAAAATATTGTAGATCTTAGGAGTGAAGTTGTAATCTTTTTACCAATGAGGCTCTGTATTTTTGTTTAATTATTTGATTTTTTGTTATGGACATATTGATCTACAGTATATTTGTGATCAATTGTTTTCTAATTTCCTTTGCAGAATGTTTTGATAGTTGAGGTAAGACCATTTCCCTGTGTCTTTCTAGGACTTACTCTGAATATTCAATCTCTCTAAATGTTAAAACTGCTGTACATAAATGTGTGGAGCACACTAGCTCTCACATGAACCATAGCTATATGACCAGGGTGCAAATCACATTCACTAATGGGTGTACCCTAAAAGTAGTGGGCTGGACCATCGCTATGGTTGTCCACATTAATATTTTATTGCTTGCCTTGAATTGTTGTTGGACTTCCTTGCACCCCTTAAATTGAAACCCCTTATGCAGCGGTATCTGTCCTGCTGATGTGTTTAGGACATTGTGGAGACGGGGAGGACTATGGAGACACTGCTATCACTGCTGAGTGAATGCAATCCAAAGATGGTCAAAGTGGTCAGGTGAGAACCAATGTATTAAGCACACAGTACTCTTTTCTCCCATATAGAAGTGCTGTGTAGCCCTGATTTAGACAGAGAAGTGGTTCAGCTCAGAATGTCAGTCTCTTTGACTGCATTTACACAGGCGGCCCAATTCTGATAATTTTTTCACTAATTGGTATTTTGACCAATTGGATCAGCTCTAAAAAAAATACAAAAATCTAATATGAAAATATCTGGTGTGATTGGTCAAAAGACCAATTAGTGGAAAAAAAATATCAGAATAGGGCTGCCTGTGTAAACGCAGCCTTTGTCGATCTAGACGGCACTATTAATGACCGCACTCTCCATCTACCGTAATGCACTCTCCCCTTAAGCACTGATTTAGAGATGTTATGTGACTGGAGCAGATTAAGCGTTCATCTATGTACCATACTGTTAACTGAACTGTGGAGGGACGGGATATTCCTCTGCTATGGAAGGGACTATTTGACTCTAGTTTAGGTTGTAGACGGCTGTGTTCTTGAGTGCATTGTAGCTATGCTATGTTATTGAGAACAATGCAAGGCCATTGAGTGGATTGTATTGTTTGCTGTGTCATTGAGATTGCTGAAGACCATGTCATTGAGAGCATTGCATGCCATGCCATTAAGAGCATGGTTTGCATAGAGATCCTATTCATTTCTGTGCTTGTATGCATTGTCATTTCAGCCTTCTAGTCAAGAGAACACCAAGGAGCTCAGGATACAGACCAGACTGTGAGTTCTGCCGTGTTTTGTGTGTGTGTCATGCGTGCCTTCCCACCGTTGATACACTACTGTACTAGAAAGAGCCTCAGCTGGTAGAGCACGGCGCTTGTAACGCCAAGGTAGTGGGTTCAATCCCCGGGACCACCCATACACAAAAATGTATGCACGCATGACTGTAAGTCGCTTTGGATAAAAGCGTCTGCTAAATGGTATATTATACAGTGGGGGGAAAAAAGTATTTAGTCAGCCACCAATTGTGCAAGTTCTCCCACTTAAAAAGATGAGGCCTGTAATTTTCATCATAGGTACACGTCAACTATGACAGACAAAATGAGAGAAAAAAATCCAGAAAATCACATTGTAGGATTTTTTATGAATTTATTTGATAATTATGGTGGAAAATAAGTATTTGGTCAATAACAAAAGTTTCTCAATACTTTTATATACCCTTTGTTTGCAATGACACAGGTCAAACGTTTTCTGTAAGTCTTCACAAGGTTTTCACACACTGTGAAGACGAGGGGCATTGCGTTCATCCACCTCTGGCCTGCTGGCTCCCCTACCTCTGCTGAAGCACAGTTCCCGCTCAGCCCAGTCAAAACTGTTCGCTGCTCTGGCACCCCAATGGTGGAACAAGCTCCCTCACGACGCCAGGACAGCGGAGTCACCCACCACCTTCCGGAGACATTTGAAACCCCACCTCTTTAAGGAACACCTGGGATAGGATAAAGTAATCCTTCTAACCCCACCCCACCAAAAAAATAAAATAATAATTGTAAAGTGGTTATCCCATTGGCTATAAGGTGAATGCACCAATTTGTAAGTCGCTCTGGATAAGAGCGTCTGCTAAATGATGTAAATGTTAAATTTTGGCCCATTCCTCCATGCAGATCTCCTCTAGAGCAGTGATGTTTTGGGGCTGTCGCTGGGCAACACAGACTTTCAACTCCCTCCAAAGATTTTCTATGGGGTTGAGATCTGGAGACTGGCTAGGCCACTCCAGGACCTTGAAATGCTTCTTACGAAGCCACTCCTTCGTTGCCCGGGCGGTGTGTTTGGGATCATTGTCATGCTGAAAGACCCAGCCACGTTTCATCTTCAATGCCCTTGCTGATGGAAGGAGGTTTTCACTCAAAATCTCACGATACATGGCCCCATTCTTTCCTTTACACGGATCAGTCGTCCTGGTCCCTTTGCAGAAAAACAGCCCCAAAGCATGATGTTTCCACCCCCATGCTTCACAGTAGGTATGGTGTTCTTTGGATGCAACTCAGCATTCTTTGTCCTCCAAACACGACGAGTTGAGTTTTTACCAAAAAGTTCTATTTTGGTTTCATCTGACCATATGACATTCTCCCAATCCTCTTCTGGATCATCCAAATGCACTCTAGCAAACTTCAGACAGGCCTGGACATGTACTGGCTTAAGCAGGGGGACACGTCTCGCACTGCAGGATTTGAGTCCCTGGCGGCGTAGTGTGTTACTGATGGTAGGCTTTGTTACTTTGGTCCCTGCTCTCTGCAGGTCATTCACTAGGTCCCCCCGTGTGGTTCTGGGATTTTTGCTCACCGTTCTTGTGATCATTTTGACCCCACAGGGTGAGATCTTGCGTGGAGCCCCAGATCGAGGGAGATTATCAGTGGTCTTGTATGTCTTCCATTTCCTAATAATTGCTCCCACAGTTGATTTCTTCAAACCAAGCTGCTTACCTATTGCAGATTCAGTCTTCCCAGCCTGGTGCAGGTCTACAATTTTGTTTCTGGTGTCCTTTGACAGCTCTTTGGTCTTGGCCATAGTGGAGTTTGGAGTGTGACTGTTTGAGGTTGTGGACAGGTGTCTTTTATACTGATAACAAGTTCAAACAGGTGCCATTAATACAGGTAACGAGTGGAGGACAGAGGAGCCTCTTAAAGAAGAAGTTACAGGTGTGTGAGAGCCAGAAATCTTGCTTGTTTGTAGGTGACCAAATACTTATTTTCCACCATAATTTGCAAATAAATTCATTATAAAATCCTACAATGTGATTTTCTGGAGAAAAAATTCTCCATTTGTCTGTCATAGTTGACGTGTACCTATGATGAAAATTACAGGCCTCTCATCTTTTTAAGTGGGAGAACTTGCACAATTGGTGGCTGACTAAATACTTTTTTCCCTCCACTGTATAATAGTTATATTTTTTCGCATGAGATTAATATGCGTATCTAAAAATCTACTTTGAATGTGTAGGTCAACATGGTACTCTAGTACTAGTATTCTACACACACACATGGTTAGTGATTTATGTCATGCTTTTAAGTCAGTTGGATAAGCTTTTTAAGATGGTTTTGCAAGGACAGCTGTTGTTTACCTTTGACCTGCTCTGTGACCCTTGCAGCTAAAGGGTCAACCCCAGTCACAGACAACAGGAGTCAACCAGCTAACCTCCAGAGATGGAAAAGAGCAACATACTTTATATCTGTGTTAATGTTATGTAATGCTAATGCAAAACTCATCCCATAAGATCTTTTGATACTGCTAACTTAATACTACACAGCAAGATGTATAACTGTTACATGTAGCTTAGTATTGTATTGTGCAGTGAATTATGTCCGTCTCTGTATTTTGTCAGACATCGGGTTTGAGGTGCCTGATTCGTTCCTGGTGGGATATGCCCTGGACTACAATGAGTACTTCAGAGATCTCAGTGTAAGTTGGCTGCATTGGAGATGATCCTGATATTCTGTTATATTCTCGATCTGAGATTCAGCATGTCAAAACCTAGTGAAAGACATACACTGAGTGTACAAAACATTAGGAACACCTTCCTAATATTGAGTTGGACCCCCTTTTGCCCTCAGAACAGCCTCAATTGGTCAGGGAATGGACTCTACAAGGTGTCGAAAGTGTTCAACACGGATGCTGGCCCATGTTGACGCCAATGCTTCCCACAGTTGTCAAGTTGGCTGGATGTCCTTTAGGTGGTGGACCATTCTTGATATACACGGGAAACTGTTGAGTGTGAAAAACCCAGCAGCGTTGCAGGTCTTGACACACTCAAACCGGTGCGCCTGACACCTACTTTTGTCTTGCCCATTCACCGTCTGAATGGCACACATACACAATCCATGTCTCAATTGTCTCAAGGCTTGAAAATCCTTATTTAACCTGTCTTTTCCCCTTCATCTACTCTGATTGAAGTAGAACATGTGACATCAATAAGGGATCATAGCTTTCACCTGGTCAGTCTGACATGGAAAGAGCAGTTGTTTTGTACACCCAGTGTACTTATGAGGAGTCAGTTTAATAAAGTATGTTGTTGGTGTATTCTTTCTACACACACACACACTTTACCATGTGTTTTTGCTCTGTGCAGCACATCTGTATACTGAACGAGAACGCAAAGGAGAAGTACAAAGTGTGAGCTGAGGTAATGGACAGATAAATGAAGGGAGACTAGGACCACTGTGATGATCCTGAGCTTTTTAGGGTTCTGAACCTTATTTATTTTTCTATGTATGAAACCTACTTAATGTGAACACATGGATTGTGAATTCAGTTTGCAAGATGCTCTTCGAGAAAACAAAAATGTATTGAATTCATATTTTTGTTCCCCTGGAAGGAATGGGATGAGATATCTTTTTAAGTAGAGGACTCATGTAAAGATAGTTATGGGAGAACTTATTTTATTTAGATTTGTTATTATATATTAAATTGGGGCTTTGGATGCCTCTGATTTATGTTAGTAATGGTGAATATTGATTTCATTATGTTGCTTAATACAATCCACAGGGTCTCAGGCGACTACATATCCACAGTAAAATCTATGTGAGTCAAGCCATGTACTGCATGTATCAGACAGTTTTACTGCATCGTACAAACCAATTATGCTGTTTAGCTCATATCCCATGCAAAGACAGGCCTGGAATGTAATGTAACAATTTTCTTTAATAATGGCAATGTTTTCATTCACCAAGGACATTGACATCAACATTAAAATAGTATTGTTGTTAATGTTAAACTTGTTTATTTGTGTGTGTGTGGAGAGAGATGCCTTTCATGGATTGACTTTAAAGAAAAGAGAAATCGGCACACTGCTCTTGTTTTTTTTATTGAAGCTTTTAAGGCGAAGAAGCAGACATACATAGCCGCGGGAAGCAGGGGTGCTGATATAATATGATTCACATTTTGAAAAAAAATCACTAAAGTAGTGCACTAGTATTAACTGACCGATATAGACTTCTGTAGTATGGGCAAAAACATTGAGACATCTAGTGGTTTGTGATGATGTGGCTCAGTTGGTAGAGCATGGCACTTGCACTACTAGAGTTGAGGGTTCGATTCCCACGGGGGACCAGTATGAAAATGTATGCACTCACTACTGTAAATTGCTCTACTAAAATGTAAAAGGAATTAATAGACAATTTCAGGTTACACTTAGAAATAAGTTGCATTTGCAAAGTATTTCAAGAAACTGGAAAACATATCAAGCTAGTACTTTTTTATATTCCACAAGGATTATCAGATTAACTGTTTTGAACAGACAACTATCAGACTCAAGTTACAAATGCTGGTAAACACTCAAATACATGTAGTTTAAATGTTTTCACAAAAGTAGTGCACTGGGCCTTTACTCGTCCTGTATTAGAGGACCAATATAGACATCTTCAGCACAGGCATTTTTCCGGATCGCTGGACCCCCACCCCCAAACTACTTCCCGCGTCGCATAAACTGCATAAAAAACAGTGCCTTTAGCAAGATCAGTGTGTAGGTTTATATTTTCTTAAATTCTTATTGTTACCATGCACCTGCAACACGATAACTCAGATGTGCGAGTGCCTTTGAATTATGGATTGACTTTAAAAAGGGTTGCTAGATTGTGATTCCTTTCAGGGCAGTTATTTTAGGTGTTCATTTGAGGCACAACTGCGCAACATGTCCGTGCAAAACATAGAGCTTATCATTTTCCAAGATGTTGGTCTCTAGTTCCCCACTAGGTGGAGTTGCCGTACATGTTCTTTATCCTGAAGGGACTCGCTTCCGTGGCTACTCCCGCCTCCAGTAGTTGATCTAGAAGTGTTGGAGAGACTACAGAAAGATAGGGAGGGTGTTGATCCTTCTGATTTGTTTAAGAGACGTCTGGATACTGTGTATCGGGATTTTGTGGCCATTTACACAGATGGTTCAAAAGATCCAAGGACAGGACGTACTGGGTCAGCATTTGTAGTGCAGGAATGTGGGGTGGAAGTCAGGAAACGTATTACAGATCATCTGGCTGTATATATGGCGGAGCTGATGGCCATACTGTTGGCCTTTCATTGGGTGGAGGAAGTCAAACAAGACAGTAGTTATTTGCTCTGATTCATGTGCAGTGTTAATGAGTCTCAAGTCCTTTAGCTCACGTAGCAGACAAGACCTGCTTTATGAGGTGCTACAAACCCCACCCCATACTTGGGTCCAGCCCATGTGGGGTGGAGGGGAACGAGGCAGTAGATGAACAGGCTAAACAAGCACTTAGTAGTGGGGATGTTGAAGTTACAATGAGCAAGGCAGAGGCAAAAATACATATATACAGTGATGGTGCAGAGATGGCAGGAGCCGTGGAATATAGATAATAAGGGAAGGCATTTTTTTCAAGTACAGAGGAAAGGGGAGGGGAGGACGGCAGGAAGGGACAGAAGAGAGAAGGCTATTTTTACAAGATTATGGGTGGGACACAGCCAGTTGAATAAGACATTAAATGTGATAGGAAAGCATCCAACAGGAAAGTGTGATTATTGTCAGGAAACAGAGACCATGGAGCATGTATTGCTACAGTGTGGGCAGTATCAGAGGGAAAGAGAGAGGATGAGATCTAGTATGAGGGAGAAGGGGATACAGGAAATTAGTTTAAAGAGTATATTGAGTAGAACGTCATTAGATATAGTCTCACATATTTTGTTATCTTTTTTAAGAGCAACGGGGCTGGCAGGTAGGATTTAGTTTATCCGTCTCTGGCCCACACTCCAGTACAGTAGGTGGCAGTACTGCACCATAACGTTGGATGCCAACCGCCGATAAACCCCACCGAAGACGAAGAAGACTCGCTTCCGCATGCAAATACTGTAGCCTAATGTCAAGTGGAAGCATTGTAGCGACAACAACGATAGTTTTTGCACAGCAGGTGCCTGTCCGAAGAAAATATTTAATATTGGGATAGTATTGACATAGGTCGGCAGCAGGGTTATAGCATTCGGAAGCGTTTCTCCTGTACAGCAATAACAAACTCGAGGTATATTTTATAACAAAAACAAGGTAGGCTACTGGTATGTTTCACTGTGAGGTCTTTGCCTCAGTTTGGGGATATTGTTGACATTCAGGATGGACCTAAAAGAAAAGACAGCTGCCATATTGAAGCAGTATGAAGTCGGGAGCAGATTCTCCTACTTGCCTGTCCTGCCCAAAGCCTCCGTGTTGATACCGCTGTTTGTGAGGGACGGAGAGGTACACATGCTGATGACTCTACGCTCCCAAGAGGTCAGTAATATGGCTCTCCCTAACTCCCTAGTTTAACCACTTTACCTTAACTATTCTGTAATGAATTCTCAGGCCTACAGTTTTGCCATTGAACATACAAAATTGTGTTATGAACATTGAAACCATTAATACAAAAGACATGACAGTGTTACATCCAAAAGTGTGAAATTGTCCACTGTATTTATAAACATAGCCTTTGATCTTTGTGCGTTAAACAACATTGGGATGTGTGAAATTTACTCCTCAGTAGTGATGGGTCGTTCGCGAACGAACGGCTCTTTTTGAACGGATCTTTTTGGTGAACGTCGGGAACCGAATTGCATCGGTGAAAGAGCCGTTTATTTGGCTCCCTGATTTGCATACTGCTGGTACTGCTTTTTGAGCTCAAAACAACGTTTTTCGGCAGATAAGTTACAAAATAATTAGCTAAAGAGCGTCAATCCTCACTGCAGAAACAATAAATAGTGGGGAGAGCGAGTCAATCTGGTCCACGCTGATTTTTTCAGTGCAGGCCATCTAAAACAATTATTTGAACGTGTATTTCACGATCTGACACAATGGAAGCCAAACTTTTGGGCTTTACATTGTAGATTAGCAACATTTTCATGGTTCTAGGTCTATTTAAGTATTTTGAACAAAGATTTGTTTGGGAGCCAAATGAGCCGTCGTGTGAGTGTGTCGCTGACTGGTAAACTTCAAATCAAATGTTATTTGCCACATGCTTCGTAAACAACAGGTGTAGACTGACATTGAAATGCTTACTTACGGCCCTTTCCAACAATGCAGAGAAAGAAAGTAGATCAATAATAGAAAAGTAAAACAGGTAATAATAAATACACAATGAGTAACGATAACTTGGCTATATACACAGGGTACCAGTACCTAGTCGATGTGCAGGAGGACGAGGTAGATGTGTACATATAACTAGGAATAAAGTGTCAGATAATAAACAGTAGCAGCAGTGTATGTGATGAGTAAAAAAAGTTAGTGCAAAGGGGGTCAATGCAGATAGTTAACCAAATAGCTACCCGGACAAACTATTTAGCAGTCTTATGGCTTGGGGGTAGAAGCTGTTCAGGGTCCTGTTGGTTCCAGACTTGGTGCATCGGTACTGCTTGCCATGCAGTAGCAGAGAGAACTGTCTATGACTTGGGTGGCTGAAGTTAGAAAATGTTTAGGGCCTTCCTCTGACACTGCCTGATGTAGAGGTCCTGGACGGCAGGGAGCTCGGCCCCAGTGTTGTACATGGCCGTACGCACTACCCTCTGTTGCGCCTTGCGGTCGGATGCCAAGCAGTTGCCATACCAAGTGGTGATGCAGCCAGTCAAGATGCTCTCAATGGTGCAGCTGTAGAACTTTTTTAGGAAATATTTTCAGCCTCCTGAGGGGGTAGAGGCATTGTCGTGCCCTCTTAACAACTTTGTTGGTGTGTGTGGACCATGATAGATCCTTAGTGATGTGGAAACCGAGGAGATTGAAGCTCTCGACCCACTCCACTACAGCCCCCTTAATGTGAATGGGGGTGTGCTTGGCTCTCCGTTTCCTGTTGTCCACAATCAGCTCCATTGTCATGCTAAAGTTGAGGGAGGTCTCTAACCTCCTCCCTATAGGCTGTCTCATCGTCATCAGTGATCAGTCCTACTACCACCATCGTGTCGTCTGCAAACCTAATGATGGTGTTGGAGTCGTGCATGGCCACGCAGTCATGGGTGAACAAGAAGTACAGGAGGTGACTAAGCATGCACCCCTGAGCTGCCCCCGTGTTGAGGGTCAGCATGGCGGATGTGTTGTTGCCTACCCTCACAACTTGGGGGCAGCCCATCATGAAGTCCAGGATCCAGTTGCAGAGGGAGGGGTCCTTAGCTTAGTGATGAGCTTTGTGGGCACTATGGTGTTGAATGCTGAGCTGTAGTCAATGAACAGCATTCTCATATAGGTGTTCCTCTTATCCAGGTGGGAAAGGGCTGTGTGGATTGCATTAGAGATTGCGTCATCTGTGGATATGTTGGGGAGGTATGCAAATTGGGGCCTGACGCTTCAGGAGGGCACTGACGTGTGCTAGCAAGGCAGACGTCCTGGGTTTGTGCCAGGTATGGGCCGAATCGGGAGGAAGTGGTACTCGCTAAGCAAGCAGCATGATGTCCTTTACACAAGCAAACAAAATGGAATGGTGTACAACTCGCTCTTTGTCTCTCTCTCTCTCTCTCTGTGCTGCAGCTGAGGACCAACGCAGGCGAGGTGTGTTTCCCAGGTGGGAAGAGGGATCCGAGGGACAGGGATGATGTGGACACGGCTCTGAGAGAGGCAGAGGAGGAGATAGGCCTTCCTCCTGACCAGGTGGACGTGGTCTGCACACTCTTCCCCGTTATGAACAAGGTACACATGGGGAGAGGTTGCTTTTACATGAAATGTTTCAAAATGGACGCTGATGATTTCTCAACTGCCCCACTATCATGGTGTAACAGGATTCAAGTCCTGGAGAACTATTAAAAAAAAAACTGCTAATAGCATAATTAGACCATAATTAGCGGAATCAGGTGTTTTATTGAATCAAGTTGGAGAAAAATCCTGTACACCAAGTAACTCAATGACCGAAGTTGGAGAACCCTGCCCAGTATAGTACAGTATATTTTGGTATTAGATATTGTCAATAGATTATAGGCCATACTTCTAGTCAGAGATATTCATACTTTCTCCTCTCCCCTCTCTTCCACATATTTTATTTTCTCTCTTTTCTCCCCTTAATTCCCCTCGCCCCTCTCTATTCTCTTCTCTCTCCCTCCTCTCTCTCGCTCTGTAGAGTGGTCTGTTGGTGACTCCAGTGGTGGGATTCATTGAGGCCTCATTCTCTCCTCGCCCAAACCCAGCCGAGGTCAGCGCTGTGTTCACTGTCCCCCTGGAGTTCTTCACTAGAGAGATAGACCACTCATCCTACAGCGCCCCTGGAATTGCTGGCCTGCTCCACAGTTTCCAGTTTCCGGACTCTGAATCAGGCAGCCACTATCAGATATGGGGCCTGACTGCCATTTTGGCTATACTGGTCTCTGTCCTAGCCCTCAGGAAAAAGCCAGAGTTTGAGACTGGTTTTGACTCTGATGACCCGGTATCTTTCTTCCAACACAATCTAAACAAGAGGATCAGTAAACTATGACAGATAAATGTTTTGACATTTTAACCAGATCATTATATAATGTAATGATAGTGAGAGCATATTTTTCCCTAAAATGTTGTAAATGTAATTGTTCTGCCAACTGTAAATGTGGAATTATGTGCAATACCTACAGTCTTTACAAAAATCGAACGAAAAAAATAAATACTTTGAATGTAAATGTAACTTGTGTGAAAATTGTATATTGATGACAAAAAGTATACTTTTAAAGTTTGAATAGATAAATGCATCCTGTTGAGTTCATGAATGTAACGTGTGAGAGGAGGAGTGGGCAGAGGCCTGTTTAGAGCAATGTGGAAGGACAAGACTGAGTTGATACCTGGATCAGGGCCTGTATTCAAATAATCTCAGAGTAGGAGTGCTGAAATATAATCAGTTTAGCCTCTCAGATCATAATGAATAATATTGGACTAGACGACTGATAGGGGGCGCTGTGTTGAAGCCACCATGCCCCATCTTGGCACACATTTTGGAAGCTATAGAAATACATTTATTATTGTCTATATTCGTTTTTTGCTAGATTTATTCTATTAGACACCTTAATGCATACTTTAAATGTGAGCCAAAAACACACAAAAAATATTAAAACATTTTCCTTAAAGTATAATTTTTTTTAGGTTACTAATGTTACTCTCCCTACTCAACAACAAAAAATACTTAAAATACATTTCATTCAGTCCTTGAAACATTTGCAATTGAAATACTGTAGATCTCTCGATGGCCAATACATAACATCAGCAATCCAGGGTTTATATTCATAATTGGTTCTAACCTAAAGCAGAGGACATGCAGGACAGGAGCTTTTTTCCAAATTAATGTCTATTGTAATTTTCTATGACCAAGCGGTGGATCCAACTGAAGCAGACCAATGTATAAATAATACACCGCTGTTTATGCAATATCAGAGTTCAGTGAAAATAGTTTTAAATGCCCTGAAACGATATCTACAATTTTTTTATATTTAACCTTTATTTAACCAGGTAAGCCAGTTGAGAACAAGTTCTCATTTACAACTGCGACCTGGCCAAGATAAAGTAAAGCAGTGCGATAAAAACAACACAGAGTTACATATGGGGTAAACCAAAACAAAGTCAAAAATACAACAGAAAATATATATACAGTGTGTGCAAATGTAGCAAGTAAGGCAATAAATAGGCTATAGTGCAAAATAATTACAATTAGTATTAACACTGGAATGCTAGATGTGCAAGATATTATGTGCAAATAGAGATACTGGGGTGCAAATGAGCAAAATAAATAACAATATGGGGATGAGGTAGTTGGGTGGGATAATTTAAGATGGGCTGTGTACAGGTGCAGTGATCAGTAAGGTGCTCTGACAACTGATGCTTAAAGTTAGTGAGGGAGATAAGAGTCTCCAGCTTCAGAGATTTTTGCAATTCGTTCCAGTCATTGGCAGCAGAGAACTGGAAGGAATGGCGGCCAAAGGAGGCGTTGGCTTTGGGGATGACCAGTGAGATATACCTGCTGGAGCGCATACTACGGGTAGAATAATTCCTCTACTGTTGCACATGACCACACCTTTTTCATAGATATCCAATCCAGGGGTTTGTTTGGAGGCGGAAGAGGACGATGAAGTGGATTCTGAATCCAATGGCGGTAGAATCAAGGACAATTGGAGCATTGTCCAAAATAATGGAAAACAGCAAAGTAGTGTAACGTGATGAGAATGTCCCTTTGTATCTAGTAGGAGTACGGTTTGTTAATGCTGAGCAGATTACCAATCTTGAAGAAACCATTTGAGATATCCAAACTGGTGGAGAGAGTGCTGGGTAAAGTGAAGGCTGTGAGGATCACGAGGCGGGCTTGTTTTGATTTGTTGTGCTTCTGCGGATCAGAAGGAACGTGCGTTGCGTCTCACCCGATTTGATCAATTTGAAGTGTCGTGTGTTTATCTTCGGAACAGTGCACCCCTTAAGGGGGTTATATCTGGCGTCTCGTGGGAAGTTGATTTTGAAGTGATGAAAAATATTCCTGAAGTGATTGATGCACGTCGGATGAATCGTGTGGTGAATGGTGAAAAGTATCTGTTCTTTAGTTTTTTTATATGGAATCTCTCCCTACTCAAGTGCAGTTAGGGTATATTAACTACAGAGTCAGAGCATTTATCCCGAGACCAATGCAGTGTGATCATTGTAAAGCTTTTGGTCATGTTTCAAGTGTTTGCAGAAGGGAGAAGCTGAGATATCCAAGTTGTGGATTAAAAGGGGGAAAATGTGACATGTTGCAATTGTGGTGGGAACCAAAAACCTAACCCTACAGAATATACAGTCCACCAAGTCCGCAACTACAGCTATGGTGATTAATGGCACTGCCAAGGTGGAGAGAAGGTCCAGGAAGATAGATATCATTGTGGATGCGGCGGAGCGGTTCCTGGGACTGAAAGAGCCGTACCACCCTCAGGCCCTAGAGCCTGAGAAGGGAGATATTGAGATTTGAAAGAAGGAAGAAGTGAGTTTTGTTTTTGTCAATGTACTATTTTTATTTGGGTGGATTAAGTTATTTTCCTTATCACATGGATTTTCTTTTTACCTTGTTTTGGTTTTCAACCCGTCCAGTTGGTGGCGGAAATACACATTTTGGGTTGTAGTTCGCCATAAAACCCACAGAAGAAGAAGAAGCTGTCCAATACCAGCTATGACTTCAGCTCCACCTCCTACAGAGTCAGGTGTTGGTGGCAGGATCTTCTACAACTATGCCAGGATCCATTGAGGAAATTAAAATGAACATGATCAAAACATTTGAGTGGACTAATTAAAGTAAGTGGATTAGATGTATAATATGTTTATAATAACAGAGACAGAAGAGCTATTGTCAATGTAATTCATAATGTTAGATAGCAGCTACTACAACTCACCAGCTGGCATGACAACGAAACCGAATGTTACTCAAATAGAATGACAACAGATCGATCTATCTCTAAGGTGCCCCATCCAATTTGCTACAGACTTCATGCGAATATTCTAAAATACCACCAGGTGGTGGTTCCACCAAAATGACTTGTGGATAGAAATCAGCGCGTGATGACAGTGCACACAAAATGTACTTTTTCATGTACCGAATAAAAATCTAAAGTTCGATGTGTTTCCATCACATGAGTTTTGTCACAAACTGTTGCGTTAAATATACAATTTGCCTACTCTGGTTTTGGCAAGTGCGCTCTAGCCAAAAACTCGCAGACATGATGGATAAGAGCGAGAATATTTGTATTTGTCAAAGAACAGTCAAGTATCGATCATCATGTCTCCAGAATAAGACCCTCGATATTTATTGGAAAGGAGCATCAAGTTCATCACCCTGCACTTTCACCACCCTGTGAAGTTCATAATTTATTTAACCTGTAGCAAGCCGAAATCACATTTACATTTTGCAGAGTAGAGCGCGTCAATTCACATACACTGCGTAGTATATGGCAACTTAATTGCCATGATAATCCATAAAACAGTTGTATTTGTTATGTTAGCCCTATTGAATTATTGTTCAATTTATATGTCCTATGTGAGTAGTGTTGCCAACTTAGCGACTTTTCAGACCCCTCTAGCGACACATTTTCAAAAAAGTGACTAGCGACAAATCTAGCGACTTTTTCTGGTGTTATTGGAGACTCTGATGTGAAAGCACATATCGTTCTTACTCTTCTCAACGAGCAGCAGGTGCTGCCGTGGGCCCCGTCCCAAAGCACTCACAGGCGGCCCAGTCCTCGCAGCAGTCCCTCCCAGCTGCAGTCAGAGCAGGAGATGTTCACCCCTCCGCGTCCAGACTGCAAATGAATAGCACATGCGGGAAGCCGCCGCTGCCTGATCCCGCCCTGGCTTACATTCAGAGCGGGATGTAAATGTCACTTTTGTCTCTCCCACGACGTTATTCCTCTCTCCAACAGCGTCCAATTACATGCGCATGGCCAATTATGCAAATTAGGCGTTGACGTCATTTTGCGACTTCTAGGACAGCCAATAGCTACTTTCCTTACTGAGGAGTTGGCAACCTGTAATGGGAGCCACCATACATGCCTGCACTAAACAGTTACGTTTTAGCTCACGAACTGAGGATAGTTGTAACTAGCACACCTGAGAAGTTCATAAAGAATGTAGTTAGTCTTGTTCGTCTACATAACAGTTTTCTCTCTTGAAATCGGTGTTCCTCGAGTTTCCCAGCCGTAGCCTGTCTAGGCTATATGCCTACGATCGAAATCACCACAGATAGGCTGCAATGGTTTTAAAATATGTAGCCTATTTGACTGATAAACCTTAGCTTACAGCCCAATACATTTTAAACTATCTTTAGTCTACTTAGCATAAGGAAGATCAAAACAATTACTCTAATTAATTTTCTACAAACAACCCACGCAATTTATCTGCTTATTTTACCAACATTTATCCACATAGACCGAGAAAAATAGACTTGCGTTCTAATTTGATGCGCTATGATGTTGACGCTTGTTATGTTGCGTCAATTCAAATCTGGTATAGGAACAAAAAGAGGTCAATACACGTCTTCTAAAATAGACTAGTATTTTAATTAATGCAAACACTTGAATGGTAAATATGATGTTCGTATATACAGGCCCACTGAAAAACCACGCAGGGCAGTCAGAGAACTGAGCTTTTGTTATAAGTTCTACTTTAAATACTCCCTACTGGGCCTGTCAGAGTAGAGGCTGGGTGTGGTTTAAACTTACCCAACCTATCGATGGCGCACAGGCTGGTCCCAGCCCCTTGGCACTTCACTGTTGCCAGGCATTAGTTGTTTTCTTTACAACTTGTCTCGAGTCAGCAACCTCAGACATAGTTTGTCCTTCTTTGTAGCAGAACACATGTCCTTGAGCCTGTCTCAGCCTACCCCCTAACGGTTCCTCACATTAATCACAGCTTGTTATGTTAAACAATCTATATCAGTACAGCACAAACCTATTATGTTTAATCATTAATGTATTCTTTCTAAGCTAGGCATCACATCTAGTTATAAGAAAATAGATCCCCACAATCCCCCTTTTCACACCCGCTGGGTGTGAACCCAAAATAAGAAATTTCAGGGAAATGTAGGATTCCCCCTTTTGACACCCACTAGCGTGTCACTCATTAAAATACAATACAAACAAAAATAATCACACTTTTATTAATAGG